TAAACAGTGAATCATGTTTTTGGCTAAAACATTGAGTAACAAAAAACCGCTACTACTCATCATCACATCAATTTGTACGTTGCTTTAACGTTATCAACGTATGTGACCGCTTTCATTGCGAGTACGTATGTGTAACATGTTTCGTGGATGCATGCAGCTTGACAGTTCTTGGAGCCTTGAGGGCTGCTGCTTGCTGGCAAGCTGCGTTTATTGCGTTATTTGCGAGAGATGCAAGGAAGCTGGCCGAATTCCAGGATCGATCACTTCGCACAGGCGAAGGATGAAAATTATTGCCTACTATTATTAGACCATTAATTGTGCGCCTCTTCTTGTTCTTGCATTTCGATAAACGGAATAAGAGTTAGTTCGAGCGATAAATACGTCCAGTTTATTGTTTGTTTCATTCACCGTTGCCTTTAGGAATTATTAGAGTGGAATCCTTTTCACCTATTAGAATGAGGAGGAAGAGGAATCCGTTGCGCATTTTTGATGCGATCAATGCGGCAATCGTTCGTGTTCCGTAGTTGAAGAACGAATGGAAACAGAAAGGATGTTGTGCATCAGCACAGCGAGGAGAAAGAGCGGACTTCATTGTGGGTTTCCTTCCTCGACGTTGTGAATTAATAAATTAATTTAATCGCTTGTCATTAATGCAATTTGTATTTGTCGGATGCCAACGGACTCTCCACTCTCTCGCCGTACCCGATGAACAGGCTCATCCTTTATACTCGTGTGCAACGAACAAAAACAGGATTCCTCTGCAGTCTCTCCCTCTCCAGTTCAGTCCAGTCCACTCCAGTCGCGATACCAAATCTCCTGTTTCCTGTCTATTTTAATAGTTTTCCAGAAACTAAAACCACAAATTTGTTCAACCATTGATTTCCTCCGGTACTTCCCAAACTAGGGAGGTTAATGCTTTTGTTTACCAACAGCAATTCCGCCAACTATAAATCTGACAATTTTATAGTTTTCCTAACATGTTTTCGAAATCGAAAACTTGGTGATTTACCTTTAAATAGCTTTTTATTGACGCTGCTGGAAGGGTACAATAAACGTCTACTCCACCCTAAAAGTCTTATCCCCTTTTTAATGAGATCCACACTCCATAAGTCATGTTTCCTGTAAAGAAAGGAGACCTGCATCTTACTAATAGGCTTGAACACTACATCGATTTATTGACTCTAAGAGACTAATTGTCTCCTTTTATTAAGTGCTCAACAGAAGCACATACCATAAAGAGTATTAAGTGTGCAATATACATGTTATAATCTTACAACGAGTATAGATTATCTCCGTTTTATAACATATTGCAAAGTTTTAGCAATTCTCGAATAAAATGCAATATTTCAATCGCAAAGCCTTTTCAAGTTCCATAAAAAGATGAAATCCGCAGCAAATCTGTCCGAGTCCGCCAATAAATCAAAACCGTCTCAATTAAGATGAAAGAAAAACTTTGAGGCGTTGACAACTTGACGATATATTTTCTTTTCCTCTTTTTTTTTCTCGCAAAATAAAAACAGGGAGGAGAATCCTCTTAGTCACCAGCTATAAATAACACAGAAAATATAACAAACCGTAATTGGATTCCATTGCTGTTGGACAAAGTTAGTTATGTGTATTTCCATCTTCTGGTTAGGAATTGAGGATGGTGAAACTGCGATTGAAGCATTAAAATCGATATCGAGTAATTAATTTGGACAATAGAGAAATTTAGAACGGAAACGAATTCATGCACGGCACGACTTCGGAAAATGTAAAAAAAGAAATAGAAGGCAAAGCAAAACATTCGAAGACCCAATTTCTGGCACAGCGCTTGCCGCTCGGCTGGCATAGTTATGGATATGCACAATGGATGGCAGATGGCTATCGGCACATGAAGAGTCTCGATAATTATAACTTTCCATACGGACCGACATCTAATAATAGTTATGGTTCTGAGTGATCGGTTCTCTTATTCTCAGCCGAAATATCCATGTCGATTCATCAACAACATCATCATCATCAACATCAGAGCTTATTTGGGACGCGAGTCAGCAACCTTTTATCTTCATAACAGGTCAACAATGAAAGAGTTATTCGAGAAATTGTAATCTCGCCGACGAGAATAGCAGATTTGTGATTCGAACCATGCGTGCTCGAACAAATACAAGAAATCTCAGATCTAATCTGATAATAAAACGTTTATTGTATTAATCATCAAACGGATACGTAGATATACAAGATCATAAAACGTTAATTTACAAAAAAATAAATAAAGTTACAAATTGAATTTATACATCACAGACTAATTTGCAGATGATGATGAAGAGATCAAATCAATTTTGATGACGAGCTTAAGGAGAAAAGTCGTAAACTGCACGCAGTTGGTAAGATTCATTCACAGCTCAGCAGATCAAAGAGCGAGATGTTAAATGCATGTGAAAACATGTAGCGAGAAAGATGAAAATAAATATCTTCAAAAAAATAAATAAACAAATAAAATTGAGACATTCTTTCGTTTCGTTTTAAGATTATTCATATTTTGACCTCAATGAAAAACGAAATAAACATAAGTCCAATTAGAACGCACTCGATGCATTCCATGAATACTAATTCGAAACCTATGAATTGCGTATTTCCGTCTTCGCGATACGTAACTGGAGGATAGAGTCAAAAGAAAATGTTTGGTTCGTTGTTATAGTGAAATATGAATGTCTCAATCTCGATCTCTAAATAATAAATGATAAAACCAACGCATTGTTTAACATTAACATTCATATTTTGACCTCAATAATGAACAAACATTTCCAATTAGTACAAAGTGTTCATAGTATTCAATAGTAACATACTTTAAAGTAGGATATTTTAATTATATTTATTATATTTTAATCAAATCAACTAAATTTTAGATAGAATAAAACAACTTTTAGTTAACAAGTATTAATCTAATGCAACAGAATAAAATGTAATGAAGATAACTCTGATTGAAACAATTACAAATAAACAATTGGAAGACGAGACGTGAAATGTTAGTTTACAATTGTTCGAATTAAATATTCTATGAGAATTGTACGTTAGTTTTGGTAGGCGTTGAATAGAGCCCTTCCCTGACAGCAGGTGTCAATGTGTTTATTGGAAGCAAACCATGGCAACATCTGGATAGACGTTGTTGGTCAAATGTTAGCGAAGATGTTAAAATATGCAATAGCTCGATGACTTCCATATGGAGCATCCGAAATAAACAGACAACTTCCTCGTTGTCGCCGCTTGTTTTGAAACGATTAGATCTCTAAAAGGAGAAAAACAAACAGCCATAAACCGTTTTTCCAATTAGCTCCTACAGCCTTCGCAGCAGATTAAAATATAAATATATATATATATATTATATATAGGCTTGTGTGTATGAGCGAGTATGTATATATAGTGTATTAATTCTGGACTGAACTGAGCTTATTAGATGCAATCTTAATAACGTTTTCTAAATGTAACTGTACCATGGCTTGTGTAGTATGTACACAACATGTGTTCGGCATTTTAAGTAAGTTCTGCATGAACCGTTAGCGTATTGGCATTTCGGTCGAAGGCAACGAAACGAGAAGAGGAAGTGAAAAACAAAAAAAAAGGGCACGATGATGTTGTTCATGGTGATGATGATGATGTTGATGATCTGCGTTGGCTGCGAATGGCAAATGGTCGGTGTGAAAACAAAAATAAAGGAGGTGCACACACATGCTTAAGTTTTAATGTCAATAACCGTCTGCAAAATAAGAATAATTAGAATAAGTAGAGGATATGATTGTTGGGAAGATTGATGGCATTTATTATGGAAACCCAATAAGTATTGGAATCGCGATGGGCACTAAATCGTACGTACCTTGGTCTTCAGTTTATCCTTGTAGGAGTAGTAGTCCGGCACTACGAACACATTTTCGCACATGTGTGTAGAGGAAGGTTTTCCCTGCACATTCGCAAAACACTAAGTTTTCCTATTCACCAGAACGCACGACACAAGCAACATTCGCGACACATCCACACCAAACTAACCAACAAAAACGCGACTGACCAGGAGGACGACGGTCGACGCCATTTTCTCTCTCTCGCACACTCACACCAACAATTTACAAACAACACATTTGACATTTCTTCGTTACCAAGCTTTTCCGGTGCTCTTCCGGTTGCATACAATACGATACGATTTATGCCATCTACATTTCTTATTGGAATATAATGGCTTTAACTAACTTTCTCACAAACGTTTACATAAATTCCATTCAATTATCAGATTACAGCAACTACAAAGACCTTGCAAGAACGTTTTATCCATCTACACTTCTTATATGACTTACAATTATAACGTCTAAGATAACATTCCTAGAATTCCTTCAAATATTCATTTAAAATTTTTACTTATGATTTACTAACTTAGTCAATATTGACTGTTAAACTTTTGATATAACATTTTATGATATTTGTTCAGTATATAACTCCTGAAAATATTGCACTTTTAAAACTTCTACTATGATTTCGTTTCATAATTTGTGGATAATGTAAACATATTCTTATTTGTATACAGAAACAGTAGGTACAGTAAAATATTTGTTTTGTATTTAAGTAATCATATTTTCATGTATTTAAGTCCATTTACGATGATCCAATACATTGCTATTCGCGTAATATATACCTAAATATAAAAAAAAAAGTTAAGTGTATATAGAAGATACAATGGAATGGAAAGGAGTTACTACGAATTTGGTTTTGGTCCTAAAACGGACCTTCCTGATTCTCTTAATATTTCATTTTTATTATTTTTTGTTGTTTCGAATATTTTTTGCTGCAGGTAACGAACCCGGCGAAAAGCCGTGCAACCATAAATATTAAGTATATATATATATCACTCGGGTAGTGCGAACAGTTTAAAAGAATAATATTTTTGCGCCGCATGAAATATTATTTTTTTAAGTGTCTCTTTTCGTGGAGGGCTTTTAATGCATAGGGGAAGACTTTCCGAAACGGCGGCACGGCTTTTCGCTCTGCTATAGGGAAGTTCACTCGCGGATACAAAAGAAAAAAAAAAGCGTTGTGTTTAAATAATTTGATCCGGATGTTCCATCAGTTCCAAACAGTCCAGGCTGGTGTAGGGAGGAGGAGGTTCCACACCGCCCATCACGTCGGAGTATGAAGGTGGTCTTTCCGAGATGCTCTCATCGTTTGCGATGTTGGAATCCCCGCCGAAGCGAATGATGTCGTCGCTGAGGATGAGCAGGGCATCCACGGTGCCACTGGTCACCTCGTTGGGCACTTCACGATCCGCTCTGACGTAGCCGCAACTGCTCCGCCTGTAGTGGTAATCGCGCTCCTCGAATTGGAACATCTCCGAATTACGACAAGGCGTATTTTTCTTAGCGATTAAGAAGACTTTGGAGAGGATGAGGAGCATCAGAACTATGGAGAAGATCGTGGCCAGGATGCAGAGAGATATGAAGATATATCTCGTGCCGTTACCGGTTGCCTGGGTCAAGTTCACAGGGACGTAACCGTACTCTAATTCTTCGTACGCTGAAATCAATGTTGTAATGTAAGTATTCACATAGTTCGTAGATATTAACTAATGGTGATTAGTTATTTACATGACACCTACGTTCAGATAAGAGTTGGCAGCAGGTCGGTGGATAAGTAACGTTGCACTCGAGGTCGTGATGCCTATCACAGCACCAGTACATGGGAATGCATCTTCCGTCGTCGCACTGCAGCTTATCCTTGCAAGGATCACCTTTACATGTCTCGTAGCTCTCGTCGGAACCGTCCTTGCAATCCGGCTTCCTGTCGCAGACGTAGTGCGGCATTATGCATCCCTCGTACGTCTTGCATTTGAACATCTTCTCGTTGCAAAAACCGGGTAAACCCGAGGGGCGCATCAGCTGCTGATCGTTGGGGGTCTGCAGTCGCCCCACGTCCCTTACCTGAATGTAGATGATCTCGAAGATCTTGTACTTCAGGCTACCGCAAAAGTAGGTACCTTGATCCTCCGCTTTCAGCGGGAGAAAAGACTTTTGGGCCTGATTCAAATCGCTTTGGCTGACCATCGTGTACAGACTCGTCGATTCGTTTTTCGCCAACGTCTCCAAATCGGTCACATTTCTAAAACTAAAATGAACTTATTATTTACAAACAATTACTGCTTTCAGTTCAACCAAGGACAACTGGCTTTCACTCTCAACCACATTTGGACATAACAATTTACAACCATATAAGAATACATATTTATTCAGGGTTGGTATATCTTTTAACTACTGCGATTCTTACAAAAATATTCTTCAAACCCAAGAGTACTTCATAAATTACTTGACAAGTATCGCAAGTAAATAGAGGTAATATAGCTAATTTTAATAAGCGACAAACTTTACTTGCTTAATACCTCAACTCTGAAGTAGATTTCCCCCATGTGAGCTGATCATCGTAGGCTGGCGATTGAGTGCTGGACGAAGATAATTGACAATTGAGCGTAAGATTATTGCCCACTCGTTCATTCACTCCCAAGTTAACCAAGGAGTAGTTATCGTCTATATTTCTAAATATTCTTAATTCTATATCACCTGAAACAAAAACAGATTAGTAAATGTAATAAGAAAATCAAAATATAAATGTATATCTTCTTCAAATTATATATATATTTCTGTTATTCAAGAAGTTTGAATGCAAATACGTAATCCTCCGAACGTGTTTAGTAACCTTATATCAAGACTTGTCGTACAACAATGATGGGATTAACTAAGAAAATGATAAATATTCCGCAGGAGGATATCAATCATTATATGCGTGTATAATGAAAAGGACCTTTTCTGTAAGTATCAAAATACGGGGACTAAAATCTGGTCCCCCATTGAATTAAGAAAACAGTAAGAAGCTTTGGCACTGCATTCAAATTGAGCCGGTTTCTCACAAAAGCGTTTGGGGTCACGGCAAGAATCAAACCTCGGATGAAGAGGGTAAGCTTCCAATAATAGCGCATATGAAGAATGGAAGAAGGAAGGGCGAGAAAACTCCGTGCTTCCAATAATAGCATATTGATTTGTTTATCTTATGGCGCCTGTAGAGGAGAGCAAGGCATATCCGTTGATAAAAAAAAAAGTAATAAATAATACAATGGACCCCGAGATGAGAGGATATAAAAAGATCCGTTTTATAATTAGAATCTGACCATCTGGTTTAATTATAAACGCTTCTCGAAGCATTTGCTTATTTTTCAGAAGTCCCTTTATGATACATGCAATTTTCTTAAGTGAAAGTTTCTTCTTGCTAAGATATCTATATAAATATATATATAGATTGATGAGTGTGGTCAGAGTGTGCGTGTGCATTTTTTTTTTGTCTGTTGATGTTTTCGGTTATGGTTTTTCGTGCTTTCATACTTACAGTTAATAATACTAAAACTAAATAAAACTAAAATAAATCCGTGCGTAGTCCACATTGTTTCGGTTTATTCGCGTTTTATTTACTTGCACTATACGCCATATTTACTCATGTTTGTTGCACCAACTGTTGTGTATATGACTTAAAGGCAGTTGCCTGGAAACACGCATGCGTCCAACCCGCCCACCGTCCGTCTACCTGCCGGTTACAAAGTCAACAAAATGGAAATACCGCCGTGCGAAAGTACACCTGGTCGCAAAAATAATTTGAAAAGGAAGAAGGACATTGTAAAGGAAATGAACACAAAAAAAAGTATTATAGAGAGCTTCCATGAACGCATCACAAAAGCAAATAATGGCGCGAAAGCGGAGAAGATGGTTCTTCCTTCGATTCTTCGAAAACTCCACTAAACTCCGAACCGGTTTTCAAAATAATAATAAAACCAATTCAAAGGTTTCCGGAGATGGGCCTCCAAAAAAATTCAACACCGTTTTTGTTCGCCACACAATGATACAATGTTCTAGATCTCTGAACTTTATGGGGTGGTAAAGAAAAGAAAAAAAAAATGTATTCAATAACCGCATTTGTATGAGTATATAAAATGCGCTTTGTAAAATCCATATCGAATTTTTCAAACTCTTCAATTCCAATCACAATTACGGCGTTTATTCATAGCACAAAATACCCTTAAAATAATACTAATAATCCCACATTATTATTGTAATAATTAATTCCTGGCGGTGGAACAGTTCTGCTTGTACCAATCCACGCTTGTCTGGATGGCTTCTTTAAACGGGGTAAACTTGAATTCAGGATGAAGACGACGCAACTTCGCGTTGCTTGCCGTCTTCTTGAATTGACCATCAGCTTTGGTTGTATCGTAAATTATCTTTCCCTTGAAATCGAAGCTTCTAGCGATCTCCTCGGCGGCCTCTCCTATAGAAATCTCCGCAGATTCATCCACTGAAAAGATGATCGGTTCAACATCCTCGTAGTTCCTCAAAGCCCAAACGAACAACTTCGCCAAATCCATTGAATATATGAATTGTCGCAAAGGCTTTCCAGTTCCCATGACAGTGAATGTATCACCACCTAAAATAAATACAATTTTATAGATTTTGAAACGTCCAAAGTTCTTCAATTTTAACTAATTATTAGACAACAAAATTAACACATATTATGCGTATGTAACCTTTAGAGATGATATCGTGCAATTTCCTAATGAGTCCAGGTATGACATGGCTCGACTCCAGATTGTAGTTATCTTGAGGACCGAAGACATTGCACGGAATCACGGAGGTGAAGTTACAGCCGTGCTGCTGTTTGTAAGCTCGATTAGCGACATCGATCATTCGCTTGGCGTAGCTGTAACCAAAATTGGAAGAATGAGGCGGTCCCAAATGCACCTTTCAACGATTAATCGATTAATTCAATTGCACATATTAAAATTGCCGGGCAGTTTTGCTAACCATTGTCTCGTCTATGGGGTACGTGATCTTGTCTGGGAAGATGCAGGTGGACAAACAGGAGATCACCTTCTTCACCTGCATCTCGTGGCTCACTTGTAGAACGTTATTGTTCATGTTCAGGTTGTTTTTCTACAGAAAAATCGTAAATTTATGCATCGCATTTAGGGGCGAGTAATAAACTCACAAAGAAATCCAGATTATGGGACATATTGTGGAAGAGTCCACCAACCATGGCTGCCAAGTGGATGACTTTAGTGGGCCTGTGCTTCTCAAAGAGGGCCTTTGTACTATCATAGTCACTGCAATAAGGAAAAAAAATTGTTAGTTAATGAAAACTTGCTTTTATTTACATTTCTGTAGAAGTGAAAAGAGGAATACAAAGTTTATGGCAGATTATCGGCGTTTACTGGGGGGCTAAACGTTATTTGCAGTTGGGTGCAATACGTAAATAAGCCATGTTTACAACTCCTTTAATTGGGCTCACCATAAATTGGCGTCTTTGCTGGTGACGAAGATCCATCTCTCGCCATCGGCTTTCTCAGATTCTACTACTGACTTAATAGCACTTCCCACCAACCCCGAGCCACCTGTTACCAGAATAACATCGCTGTTTTCCATATTATTATTTTTTTTGCTTTACCCTTCTCAACGTCAGCCCATTAACATAACCTAAATACCATACCGACTTGACGTTTTACGTTGGCGTTTCAAGAGTTAGAACGGAAGAGCTATTCTCGTCTACCATTAGTAGTTTTCAAGAAGTTCCCATGAAATCCACGACAATGGATCGAGTTTTATTGCCGGCTTTAAATTTAAACGAGCTATAGTAAACCGAACATGTAAAAATGAATAATTTGAATTTTCGTGAAAACGGTTCTTCGGTTGGTAGTACTGATCCATCGACCAATGGAATTTGAGTTAACAAGATGAGAATAGTAACGGCCGAATTCAGACCAATCGCAGAGCTCGAAAGAAACGGCAGCTGGGAGCAGGTGTGCCATTGGGCGCATTGAAAGGACGCCATTAACCGTTGTAGTAAAGTGCATCACGAAGCGGAGTGAAAGTAAAGTTTGTTGTAATCGTAAATGAAAGGATAAATATATAAAATAAACGTTTGTGAATTCATTAGTTGTACGATTTCTGGTTGTTCGCGATACGCAAAGGACTGCGAAAGTTGTGTGTTATATATATATATTTATATTTTCTGTGGCTGTGCGTTTTTCCATCGAACATCGGGATTCATAAGAGAGAGTTCTATTTTCGGGTCTTGTGTTCGTCGGAAGCTGTTGGTGGATGGGAGTTCGTCTCGTGAGAATCACAACAAAAGCCCAGAAAATGAGTTTCGCTAGGAATCTGCAGAGTGAATTGATGGACGACGGGGACGAGTTTGATTCATCCAGTGGTTGCGATATGTCTTTCGAACTTTCCATCGATAATTCAAATAACCTGAGTCCGCCGCACGGGCTCCATCATCACCCAGGGCCCAGGAGGCTAAATTTTAATGAAAATATCAGCACCCCGGGTCCCAAGCACAACCTCAGTCCACCATACAAACGAGTCAGAGCATTGAGGCTCTACGACAGCCCTTTGACTCCCAAAACAATTATAGAGAAATCTGCTTGCACCACACCAGCGCCCAGAGGGCGTCTCTTCTCCATGGACAAACCACGAGCTGTGGCTAGTGCTTACAAACAAATTGACAAACCTATGGCTAATGTTAATCCTTTTACACCTAATGGTAAGAAATATTGAAAATCTGTTGATTAGACAGTTGCTATATTTAATATTATTGCGATACTCATTGTAATTTGCTTTTTTCAATTAGGTATGTTGTTGAACAAGAAGAGGACACGTTCAATTGGTTCACTGGCTAGTTCACCGAATTTTGTAATTCCCAAATTCGAGTTAAATGATTCAGATGTCTCAGATACTGAGTTGGAGCAGCCCACCAAGAGGGTAGCATTGCAGGAAAATAACATTTCAAGATACCATCAGGAATTCCTGGAAGTGGAACTGATTGGTACAGGGCAGTTTGGATCAGTGTATAAATGCATCAACAGACTAGATGGATGCACTTACGCTGTAAAGAAATCGACAAAGCCTGTTGCTGGTAGTGTATTCGAGAAGAACGCGCTGAACGAGGTTTACGCTCACGCCGTACTTGGAAAGCATCAACATGTGGTTAGGTATTACTCGGCTTGGGCGGAGGATAACCACATGATCATCCAGAACGAGTATTGCAACGGTGGATCTCTGGGTGATAAGATTGCACAGGAAGCGTTGAGCGCGTCCGAATTAAGACGCTTAATGTTGCATGTGGCCGAGGGGCTTAGGTACATCCACTCAGAGGGCCTCGTCCATCTAGACATCAAACCAGGAAATATCTTTATTAGCAAGGAGAAGCGTATGCAGTTCAACACGAACTACGATTCAGCGGACGATGGTTTCGAGGACCTGGAGGACCTGTCGAATTGCGAGGAGGAGCTCACATACAAAATTGGCGATCTCGGCCACGTTACGTCTCTGGCCAATCCACAAGTGGAGGAGGGTGACTGCAGGTATTTGCCCTGCGAAATCCTGCAGGAGGATTTCACGCACTTGACTAAGGCTGACATATTTGCACTTGGACTCACGGTGATAGAAGCAGCAGGCTCAGGGCCTTTACCGAAGAACGGAGAGGAGTGGCACAAAATCAGGAAAGGAGAGATTCCTGCGCTGAAACAAACCATCCAGCGGGATATGCTGGAGCTCGTCAAAACCATGATCGATCCTGATCCACTGGCGAGGCCAACGGCCATTCAAGTAAGTCGATCATCTTCAACAATGATCACAATTAATGAAATTAACCAATCGCTTTTCTCTCTCTTTCTGTTCTTCTAGGTTTTACAACACAAGTCTTTGTCACCGACGGGTAGCAAATCAAAGGCGCAACTCCACAGAGAGCTGCACATCGAACGTCTCAAGAACGAAATGCTCTCCAAGCAGCTGAGGGAGGCGGCCAAATGCATCAAATCCATCACGCCCGAAGTCAAACCGAACCTATCGAAGATGCCGACACGCTTAATTGGAAAAAAGGTGAACCGAAGTGTTAGTACTACAACATTTTAATATTGACTTTAACAATTTTTATATATCTATATATATATTAAGATTCTGACCGTTTCAAACATTCAGAATCAAATACGATAAATGCTCTTAATACTACGTAGGTGCTTATTTAAAGAACTCTTAAATTAAAGAATATTATACATATATATATTTATTACGCGCCAACGTCGAAAGAAAAGAAAGAATGATATATTTTCAGTTCGGAAGGCGTTTCTCGATTCTTTTTCCAATTGATTAAGTTTCTATATTCTTGTAGCTTTCTCGTTAAATATTTGTGTCTAATATGCAACATTTTGATTGGTGTAGGTGCAATCTTCTGGGATTTTGTCGAGCATAAAAAGATTGAGTGATCCGGAATTGTGAAAAATAGTAATTTAAAACACATACATATAAATATATATATATTTAAGCTAGTTGTACAGATAATTTAAAAACGAAAAACAAAAAAAATGCGGATGAAACAACAATATCAAGTTGTCACATAATAAAGTTATCGAATTTTAGTAATAAGGAACAATCGTTATATTCAAATTTTGTTATTCGCTCAATCGATCAGAGCGTAGATTTGTACATGCATCCTCAACCCCCCCCCCTCAATTTGTTTAAGAAGCAATAATAAAAGTGTCCTCTCACCCCCTTTGCAACAAAAAAAAAAGTTTAATTACAATCTTTACGTTGTGGAGAAATCGAGGGAAAATATGATACTTTCTTTTATTTCGTCGTTGGTTGAAATGAATTAAAAAAAAAAGTATAGAAGGGAATGTATATGAAGCCAATGTGATGTTGTATCAAGATATATTATTGATTGAGCAGCTCTCTTTAAATTTGATGAAAACGATTGAACGAAAGTTGTTAGCTGTTGTTTGTGATGATTATTATTTTGTATATTCTATATACAGGGTGCGCGTTGACTTAGAAGGCAATAAATGATTATTTTTTTTTTATATATAACAAAAATAAATAAAAAAAAATGAAAAGTAAACGAAACTAATAGAGTTACATAACAATAATAATGATGATAAAATACACAGTACATCTCGAAAGTATACCAATGGTGATAGTAATTCTTTTAACGCCAAGTGATTATATAATGTTTTATTATTATTATATTTAAATAGAGGAAAAAAAAATTTTTTTTTTTGGAAATAAACTGAGAAAAAAAAAAAGAATTTATATAATTAACTTGAATATATCTTTTTTAGTGAGTAAATATAATATTATTCTAGGCACATATCTTATTATATATTTTATTTAGTAATATTAATATTGCGCGTCGTGATTTCTTTTGCTGTATATTTTTTTTTTAGGTCTTTCTTTTTCTTTTAATTGTTTATTTTTTCCGAAAATTTGCACATATAGAATTTATTCTTATTTTCGTTTTAAATCTTCCATTTTTAAGCTTTATGATGTGTCCATTTCCTCGTTTCTTTTCTCACTGTTTCATTTTAACAAAGAAAAAACAAAACAAAAAATCTATATATAAAAGAGAAGAAGAAAATTGTTCCTCGCCGACTTAATTGTTTGTAACCCATTCGAGAAGGTCGTTTCTCCGCCGTCTTTTACTACTATATAATTTTTATATTAATTGTGATATGATACTATTTAAAAAAAAAATGTTTTTATATATATATATATTAAATATCTTTAAGTTTGTAAGTTATTAGCGAAACAAGGGTTGGCACTTTTTTATATTATTTTTTTTTTATATAATTATTATTTTTTGTGTTATTAAGGAACAGTTGATTGTTTTGTCCATCATTGCATTTGTTTTGTTGTCTTGTTGTGTTTCAACTAATTGAGTTTTCAGACGTAGGGATTTCATGTTTTCCAATACACATTCCTTAGATTTTAAGTTGTTCCTCCTCCTCTTCTTTAATTCTCTGTCTCTCTTTGTCTTTGTTTTTCCTCCCCTCATACATTCTCTGCATTTTGCATGTAACATTGCTTAACTATATTTTTTTTTATTATATCTCATTTATTATATATTTTTTTTTGTAATTGATGAAAAAAAAAACAAAAAAAAAATATAAACCCTTGTATGTTATATTTAAGTTTAAGTATTTGTACTGTTTTGTAAAATAAAAACCAAATATATCGATAATAATATACTAAATAAAGAGATTAGTATTTTACATTTACTGCTCTAATTATTGACCACGGTCAAATGACTCGCATACCGTACATCCTTTTAAAACTATGTTCGATAATACGTACATAATTATGTATGACTAAACCTATTATTTTCATTCGCTTATGTTTTATAAATTAATTTCCTCAGTTTCAGTTGTGGCAGGGATAATTCCATAACTTTCGCTATATTTTCAGGCATATTGCATTTAGTAATCATGAACGAATGGAGCGGTGAGCGTATTACAAAAATAATGATAGCATTGTAAAGGCTCAACGATTATTTCGACGCGAATTCAACTGCAATAAACCAGTGCTGTCTGGGCATGCCATTAAAACGTGGATCAAGAACTTTGAAGAAACTGGTTCTGCGCTGAAAAAAAAGCCTCCAGGTAAAGAAAGAAGTGTGCGTACATCGCAGTCGAGGATTGTCCGCGGCGTTCCGTACGTCGTCACGCACTTTCCTTAAATATTTCTGATAGGAGTTTAAAACGCATTCTGCAAGAAGTAAAGAATGAATGCCATTTAAATAATTTTGTTTCCTGCAGTTAAATATGATAAAATATTGTATAATTATTAAATCTAATAGTTCTCAATTTTTATTTCTGTAATATACTTCAATTTGGTTGATCTAGTCGCCTTTGACATTAACTGACCTAGGCTGACATGATTACATAATTGACATGATCTAGGTTTTCATTTAACCTAGGTAATCTAACCTACTAATTAATCATTGTACTTTCCAAGGTTTAGATTACGTAATTGTAGATTTATTGTTGTTTGTTATAGGTAGTACCATGGTTACGATGAATAAACAAGAATGCCATTTAAATAATTTTGTTTTCTGCAGTTAAATATGATAAAATATTGTATAATTCTTAAATCTAATAGTTCTCAACTGTTATTTCTGTAATATACTTCAATTTGATTGATTTGACATTAACTAACCTAGGTTGACATGATTACATAATTGATTTAAAACATGACCTAGGTTTTAATTTAACCTAGGTAATCTAACCTACTAATTGATCATTGCACTTTCCAAGGTTTGGATTACGTAATTGTAGATTTATTGTTGTTTGTTATAAGTAGTACCATGGTTACGATAAATAAACAATAATGCCATTTAAATAATTTTGTTTTCTGCAGTTAAATGATAAAATATTGTATAATTATTAAATATAATAGTTCTCAACTTTTATTTTTGTAATATGCTTCAATTTGGTTGATTTAGTCGCCTTTGACATTAACTGACCTAGGTTAACATGATTACATAAATGTTTTCAAACATGACCTAGGTTTTAATTTAACCTAGGTAATCTAACCTACTAATTAATCATTGTACTTTCCAAGGTTTGGATTACGTAATTGTAGATTTATTGTTGTTTGTTATAAGTAGTACCATGGTTACGATGGGAAAGAAAATGACGTCTACACGTCTGTCACAATTGAACATCAACCTATCAGAAATCAAAATTCCTCGTGAAACTAACGCATTCCTCCCATCACGACCATCATTAGCCAACAAAAAAAAAAAGAAGAAGAATAGCATCATTTTCGATTGAATAATTGAATATTATTTACTCTAGCAAACAGACGATGCGCATGCTCAACAGATAAAACTCGCTCATATGTATTTATGACACTATGTACAATATAAAATGTTAATAAAATGGAACTAATTAAGAGCTCGTACCGCAGGAATGTTATATACAAATTGGCCACTCTCGCATTTCAACTGCAGACGAGGCAATACGTCAGGTGAGCGGAGTTTTTATCTCTATGTTTATGAAACATTCCGATCGGTTGGAGGTTAAGTTTTGTAAACACAGATCTCCAGTTGCTGCTGCTGTTGTTGTATCGAATTCCTGTAATATATCCGTTCGCAGGTTAGCGGAAGTTGGAAAGCTCGAATCGCCGAAGCTCAATGGGAAATACGATACTGGTCAGCTGATCCTTCATCGGGTCTTTGGGTACAGGGGGGTTGTTCTGTTTCCATGGCTGGCCAGGGTGTATGACAGGGATCTGCCGCAGCACAAGGAAGCAGATGAGGAGTCCAATAATCAAACAGTGGGAAAGGAGGTGCACGGAAAGACTCATTTGTTCTATCAAGTGCTGATTGATCAGAGAGATTGCCCTTTCATTGTAAAGCAATATGGAAATGTTTTTAAAAGACATGAATAACACAATTTCAATTTTGCAGAGAGCTCAAACTGAGGCTGTGACCTTCTTGGGAAACCAGGAGTCTTCAAGGAGCTTGTATGCTATTCCTGGTTTGGATTATGTTGCTCATGAGGATATCATTCCTTACACCAGTGCTGAGAAATCACCTCTGCAGCACGAATTGTTTGATAAATTTCTAGCGCATAATTCGGATAAGGGTGAGTTTTCCGAAAATTGAATTTTATTTACTGAATTGCTTATTTTGTTGTAGATCCGCCGTTTGTAGCGCAAGAGACTTTAAAGGCATGGCAGAATAAGAACCATCCTTGGTTGGAGCTTTCGGACGTGCATAAAGAGACTACGGAAAACATCAGGGTGACTGTGATACCGTTTTATATGGGATGCCGCGAATCTCACACGAATTCCGTGTATTGGGTATGGTTTATTTATATAATTTATTGAATCATTATTAATGTTTTTTTTTGTGCAGTGGAGGTATTGCATAAGGTTGGAGAATATGGGTGCTTTGGCTGTACAACTCAGGGAGCGACACTGGAGGATCTTTTCGCTGTCGGGTACTTTGGAAACGGTCCGTGGTAGAGGTGTTGTGGGACAAGAGCCGGCTTTAACGAGGACGTTACCAGCCTTCCAATACAGTTCGCACGTGAGCTTGCAAGCGCCTAGCGGACACATGTGGTAAGCAACGAAGGTATAAACCTAGGTCAAAGTTACTAAATTGAGGTTTGGTTTAGGGGTACCTTCCGAATGGAGCGAGAGGACGGTTACACCTTCGATTGCAGAATACCACCTTTTTCACTGGAAAGCAAACCCGATGGAGGCCCGGCGACTCCACCCGAAACTGTTTAGATAACGTCTCCATTTTCAATTAACTCTTAGCGAAGATACTGTACCACGATGTACTTCCAAGTCGATCCGCTGCAGGGATTCCTCATCGAGATAATGATCCTGAACATGGTCATCATGTGCACGATGATCTTCTACGTAGCGCTACTAATAATCGACATAATTTACGAATGAAATAGGTTTCCCGATTGACGCGTATGGTGTTTTCTCAGATTTGTAAATATTAGCTAATTTAGACCTATTTATGAATATATTTTATATATGCCAGAGAAAAAAAAAGTAATAATAATAAACAGACGAGAGTTTTCCTAATGTTGTCAGGCAAATGTGCGTGAGAGTGTGTATGTTTTCGTGTGCGGACATTTTAAAAAGCGAATAAAAATTGACAAATCCAAATTTGGTGTTAACCGAAGACTAATTGGTTCTTTAACTTATTTTATACATATAAAATACATACAGTTTTCTAGTATTTACAAAAGTATGTTTTGTGCTTCATTAAAACGAGTTTTTTTTTCTTGTTGTTGTTGGATTGAGATTTAAACGTCCTGCAATAACCCGAAGTTATCCTCGTCATTGACCAAAGCGTCGATGTTGTAGAATGCCGCGTGCAGAGTTATAACTGTAAAAGAAGCGCCCAAGACCCAGAACATTGCACCATGCGCGCCCACGAGGTAATAAATCGGAATTGAGCACAGAGAAACCAGCCCATATTGCTGCGCCAAAGTGAGTTCCTTTCCCATGACCACGAATTTGCGCTCCTGATGCCGCTGCGACAGTTTGTAACAGACGTACAATGATCCAGCCATCGCGATTAATACTAACGGAGATGTAATCCTGCAAATTCATAAAATTAGATCTTCCACTAACGAATTCTAGCAAGCGTTGTCTTACAGGCAATAAGCGATTAATCCTAAGAATACATATAGATAGTTTCCTTGGAAATACTCAATGTTCCTCATAATCCTACGACTTAAGCGTGGGATGGATGGAGGAGCTTTAAAGTTTGAGGTCTGTAGGAACAACAGCCAAGGCCTGACATTCTGCCTCTGTTGTGCGAACCACTCCTTTGGATCAGGCATTTGCGTGGGAAGATTGAAGTAGCTGCAAAAAGGGTTTATTTACGTTATCATCTGTTGTTATTGGTAACCTACAAACTGTTAACAATCATAATATTTACCTGGCGATTCCGCTCTTCGGTGGGGCCATCGGGTGAGCAGCCATCTGGCCAGAAACATCAATGGAAACTTCACCCATTTCGTTTTATTTCGTTACAGATTCTATATACACATGGAAAACTAATTACTATTCTAAAACTGATGTGCTGGTTAAAATCATCTGACGTATGGCTATAAGCTATGATGACGTTTATATTATGTATATTTGGTTGCCTACATACAAATGAATTAAGGACTCAAAGTGTAATTATTACATACAAACTATAGTTCTTTATACAAGTAAATATTAAAATATCATAAAAATTAAACTTACTTCTAATTAACTATCACTGTTATTCTCTAGTTAATTCTTCAAGCTAGTTAATACTTTGCTAAATCCTCCAGAAAACATCTTGTAAGATGAACAATAATGCATGCATGTAAATACATTATTTAACTAACAAATGTTATGTTTTAATCATATTTCTACTATTATTATTGTATACAATATAATTTATTATATAAGTATATACATTTTTCTTCAATCGAATTTAGTTCATGCTGACAGACAACAGCTGATCCATTCGACGAGTATTTGGTTGCGGAACGTTGAAAGGAAAATTCAAAGAAAACTCTCAACATCTAATTTTTTTTTGTATGGTTTTTAATATCATCTTTTTATAATAAATAACAAATTTTTCATATAGATACATAAGCAAAAATATATTGTAACAGTTAACATGTCTAAATCGTACTCTTTCTTTTTTCATAATTCTTTTTCTTTGTTTCGAAATGAAAAGGAAGAGTAATAATCTTAAATAATTAAAAAAAAAAAAGAAAACGAAAATTATATATAATAATCATCAAAGAAAACAACTCGAAATTCCTCTTAGCACAGCTTCTTTTTTTTTATATAATATATATATATATAAATTTGTTGAGATACTGCTCTCAACGGGGGTGATTGTTTCTTCGATCTTTTTTTCTTGAATTTTTCCGAAAAATACGCTCAGTATATGTTTACACGTGCTCTCGAACAGTCTACTCTGTATACTTATTAAATGCGAGAATTTCAACTAAACTAGTACACAAAAAAAAATGAACAACGAACAAAACGAGAAGTTAAAAGTAGTTGTAGTAGTAGTAGTATATAAAGAATGTCGACTTTAGTCTTTAGTTCAAAAATTAAGGCCTCAATTGCATGTATTTTTTTTACTTCTTCTTCTTCATTCTCTCTCTCTATATGTATATACATTTATATGTTTTGTTTCCTTTTCTTTCTTGGCACTTCCGTCTTGCTTACGTGAAACGAATTTCAAATCGAAACGAAAAGTTAAAGTGTCGAACTTGCATGAAATATAGACAAAACGAAAAGAAAAAACAACTAAAAATCGAGAACATTTCATTTGGGTAAAAGAGACATGTCGAGAAAGAGAGGAAGCACTTATTAAAAGACATATACTGAATCAAATAATGCCCGTCGCGATCGCCTTTTCTATATCGAAATAATAATAATAATAATAAGAGTGAAAACAAAAGAAAAACCGCCTCCTTCGTTTACAAAATAGTTTCATCTCCTCTTTCCGCGTTTTTTTTTCCATCCTTATAATAATTAATATAAGATACTTTCTTTTTCTTCCAATATTGTGTATGCGTGTTAGTGTATGTGTGTCTCTCTGTGTGTGGAAAATCAAATATAGTAGTAGTAATTACACTAATCGTAATGGAACAGGAAAATATTTAGTTAAAATTAAGACTAGCGATGCAAAAAAAAAAATTATGTAAATTATGTACATTGTTGGTCCTCCGTCGAGTAAATTATGAAATGAGAAGAGAGGAAAAGTATTATTATTTTTTTTTGGATAAATTATATTTGTATGTACAAAAAAAAAAGAGAAGAGTAAATAATAATAAGATTTTCAAGTAGAAAAGAAAACAAACGTAACATTTAACAGGAAATAACTGTAGGAAAACTAGAATATTTATATATGTATGTAAATATATAAACACATTTGTAAATGTCCCGAAAGTGGAAAAATATCAGTTGAATAAAAAATAATTATATATGTTACAAATGCAGTTTTGGCACCGAAATATTCGTAGTTTCCGTGCGAAGTTGTGGGTGCACCAAAAGACGATTTACTTTGTACAGATTCAGCCTTGTTTCCCCCACTAGCAACAAAATTGATGTCAACTCAAAATATATATATATATATGTATGTATGTAAATAAAAATAAGAAGAGAAAAAGAACAGAACAAAAACATGCGCTTTTCTTTCTAAATAACAACTAAATCTATGTACACAAATTAAGATTCTTTTTTTTTCAATGTTACTAAATAGGAAGGACTAGGTGCTCTAAATTGCGTGTAAATCTATCATCCAAATACAAAGTGGATGCTCAGATCAGTTCACTTCGTAATTATTTTAAACCAGATAGAGCAGCCCTTGTAGTAAATTATAAACTACATAATAACAGAAAAGTTTAATTAATAAAATTTTAAAATTTATCAATATTTCCATCAATTTTGTTTGTTTATTTGTTTGTTTGTTATATAACGCATCTTCTTTTGGCGCATCACCAACGATTGCTCTCGTGTTGGAAGCTGTATTCGCAAAAAAATGGATGTAACTGTACGCGAGGAGGACTCAACAATATTTTTTTCTTCTTTTCATCATCATTTCTTCGTTTGTTGTTGAGAGAAAAATAAAAATAATAATATTTATATATATATATAACTAAACAGAATATTTTTATATAACATATATAAAAACCTTTTCAATCTATGACAACGTATGGTAAAATCCTGAGGACGTCCCCATTATAGGAGGGTCGGTCCAACACCTCGTGGTACTCACGAAACATGCCGGTTCTTGCGTTCGAACTACTCTCGCCGCCAACGGCGTCCGCACTATCTGAAATACTGTACTTTTTGAAATTCTCACAAACACTGTTCCTATCTACTTGTTTGGGCGACAATTCATAAAAAGTAGGCACTATTTTATCGCCCGAGTCCGCGAGGTCGGGCTTCTTTTCCGAACTGAAGTTGCCGTTTACGTCGTCTTGATACTGCGAGTGTAGGTCATGTATTCGGTCTGAGTCGACGTCTAGGAGGCGGTAACGGTGCTGGAGGTGGGAGCGGGCCGAACAATCCGGATCTTCTATAGGCGTGGGTTCAACGCTGCACGTGCACGGCTCCTCCTCATAGTCATATAGGCAACTGGTGTCGATGGGAGGAAGTCTGCTCAGAGCCTCCGCCTCCGATAGGGAGGGCGTCATCGTAGTAGGTATCATGAATGGCGAGGGATCCGGCTGAGGGGCGGTGACAGTTGCCGTCTCCGGTTCGTCGACCACGACGATCTCATCCTCGTCCGGCGATTCGGGCCTGATCTGCTCGATTTTTGTATGGTGGTTCGTCACCACGCCCGACTCCAACACATTCCGATTGTTTTTAGTCTTTTTCTTTATCCGATTCGCACTAGCGTTTAGCTTCTGGTCGATGAAGCTGACTCGCTCCGTTAGTTTCGCTGCTCTTTCGTTCCAGTCTTCCAGATTCTTGGCTGGCGACGATGTCGTCGAGGATGCTACAGGCGGCGCCGGCGCCGATGTGCTCTTGTTCTGCAGCGATGCTATGAGCTCCTGAGTGGTCTTCACCTTGGCGTTCCCCCGTGACACCACCATCTTGCTCATAAAGGAGGTCTCCGCCTCATCCAACAGACTCTTGTGGTTCTTCGAGCCTTTTTTCCTACCCCTCTTCTTGGGCTGTTGTTCCTCCAGCAGCGGCTCGTTTTTGATGTCCGGTATGCTCGAGTTCGAATCCGAATTTATCAGTATCACGTTCTTTGTCGTCAGGGTATCTTTGAAACTGGAGTTAGAGTTGTCCGAATAGTCATACTCGTTGATGCCGTTGATACGCGCCCTTTTCGACGTATTGTTACCACCCATCTCTTTGGCCAGGCGCTTCCTGTTCTCCTGCACCTGGTGATGCTCGGATGCCTTTAGCTGCCCATTCGTATCGACAGGCGGCGTCGTTATTGGCTGCGTCGCCGGCGTCGGAAGCACTTTGCTGCGCCATTTCTTCAGAAGCTCCTTTAACCGCTTCGCCAAAGATCCGTCGTTACATTTACGTCGCAACTCATTAATATGCTTTCCCAGTCGGGTGGTCTACAATCAAAGAATACTTACAATTAACATTTCTTTCAATACAATCATGAAGAGATGACAACATTCAATTAAACTTCTGTTTTCCAATTCAATTATTACTTAAATTAATCATTTACTTAGAAATAATGAATATTATTTGATTCTCTCGAAAAAAAAACGCAAATACAACTGTTTGCAATAACGTTCAGAAAGTTCACAAAAATATATATTAATAGGCCATAAAAATATTATAAAACAAAGCGTTTAAAGTAAAAATACCATAGAAGAAATTTATGACTATTATAAAAGATTTGTTTGCTAATAAAAAAAGAACGTATCAGCAGTATTTCACACTAAGCTACTAGTTTGATACAAGACAATATTTATGTATGCTATACATCTCAATTAATGATTTTCATACGGATTTAAGTACCTAAATTAACATTTTTTTAAACGCTTAATTCCGATTATGAATGGATAATTTTAAATATGAATAGTTAGAAATGTAATTGCTTTTACAGTAATTAATCAAAGACTGTCACTTTCTTACTAAAATATAGTTAACTAAAAAAAAGTTTAGGTTAATCTAGTTGCTAATTTTACGTACATACTGGTTTATCATTGTAGGCCTGTTTGTACAATAGTACTATTTAGTAAGGTTGATGGAAATCTCAATAAATCATCGCCTGCATTTGTAAATTACAATGTGAATCATTCCTCGTAGATTCGTATATTCTAATTGATATATCCGATAATTTAATGATTTTAAGCAACAATTCAAAACGTTGTTACACAAATCGATGCATAATTAATGATATATACAAGTTTTGTTAGAACTAATTGTTTACACGACTTTAAACACGTTTTACTTTGTTAACTCGGAAATAAAGTAACTATCAAATAATCAGCCACAAAACGTGTACTTATTTAAACAAAAACATTTCTAAACTTGATTATAATCATCGAACTAATTTCATTCATTAATAGAACGCAAATCAACGTTTTCGATCAGAATGTTTTCAATTTATACATCGATTGTTAAAAACTATTCTTTTTTTAAATTAAATTTTCATAATTAATCGATTTGTTGTTGATGGCATGCTCTCAACACGTGTGCTAATATTTTGACTCGGTTATGCACGTGCTCCAAGTAAAGGAAACCTGTTACTCGTTAGATTGTTTTCGTTGCACCGAGTGGTATTAAGTCAAAACAACGCGAAATTTAGTTTTATCTTTGTAGATAGAGACAATGCAAAAAGTAACAAAAATTAATCGATATTCATACTTAAAAATGATGCATGAAAGCAGAAAATTGCCAATTGATATTATTGATTATAATAGAAGAATTGATAACTTGAAAATACGTTTCTGTATATGGAAATAACTGGGTAATGTGAATGAATCGATAATGCGTAAAGAGGCTCCAGTTTTCCTGGACGATGTCGAGACAGGACTTGAAATACAGTTTAAGGTCACACCGCATTTCATGTTGTCGCGTTTACTCGAAATAACCCATCAACCTAAATTCATTGATGGCAGGTTAAAAATCATCTGCAGAGCAACAACTCTTGCTTTCTTAGGCGACGATTATAAGATGTTCCATCAACAAAGTAACTAATTATTATTGGTGAGGCACACATCCTGCGAATTCCTCGGTCGACGGCAAATCAAACAATATTCATATAATATTCGGGACATATTTTGTTTTTTTTTTTTAGAGAACCGATATGCGAATATGTATAAAATCATACCTCAAGTAACTCTTTCGTGATAGATATATTTTCGAGTTGGGTAATAACTTCGATAACAATGGCCATATCCGTAACCTAAAAAAGAAAGAAAAAAAAAAACATAAATAAATTATAGAATACGAGTCGATAGTAGACAAACAAACAAACAAACAAAAAGGGATTAGCTTAGAAATGTGCGTTTTTGTTCTCTGGCTGCAACTTGTTGCAGGACAAAGGGACCCAAAATGGTACACACCCAACAGGTAAAGAGGGCGAGCGTTTCTTGGAATGTAAAAATGTGGTGATTTTCGGTGAAAAGGATGAAAAGAGAAACGGTTTCTTTTTTCGGGGCATTATATAAGTGTTGCGAAAATTAAAAAAAAAAAAAAACGATTGCCATGTCCATATTGACAGCTGATTTTCGTTTTTCTTTTTTTTTGGGTCTTGTTCTTGTGGATTATGAGGATTCTGGTGGACTGATGGAAACGTGGTTATTGATTGATTGATGTTATGAATATGGAATAAATGATGGTTTAGTTTTGTTATTTTGTCTGGAGTGTTAGGTTATTAGGGGCGCGTGTGGTTAGGTAATGGTGGTACAGCCCTTGGGTGGTTTGTAGGTTATAGGATGTGCGGAGGACGGCGAGGGAGGCTCGCAATCATATGACACATCCGAAGGTTTTTATTTAGGTTATAGGAGAGGTGCGTTATAATTTGGGTTTTCTGTGTGTGTGTGTATCTGTGGTGTATGTATGAACGTGAGTACGTGTGTGTCGAAATGGTAAGGGGAAAAGAGTGTGTGTGGACTTTGTAATTTGTTTGTGGATGAGTGGTGTATGTGTGTACAGAGGTGGTGGTTGTGGATTCGGGTGGTTTTCTTTTCTATAAATTGCTTGGTTGATGATGATGTTGTGTTGGGACTTGGTATTATTATGATGATGATGATGATGGTCTGGTCTGGAGGAGCTTTGGCTTAGGAGTAGTTCGGTCTCGCTCTCGCATAGGAAGGCGGCACGCACACACAGTCGGCTCTCGGTCGTTGAGAGCCAGACACAGGCACACACAGGGCCACACAATATCGCACTCTCACCACCAGAAAACTCACGAAAAACACTGCAAACTGTTGCTTAACTTACATTATACTTATTATCAAGTGCTCTAAGTAGTTTCTGCGTCAATTCCGTAACGTTATTCTGCATTTAAAGACGATCTGTAACGATAAAACCGAATGTATTTGGTGCGAACTTTGCGTAGCTCCACACGGTAACAATGGCGGCAGTACATTGCGTTTTCTACAATTCTTGAAGGCGCACTGTGTTGTACAGGGAACATGGTGAACCCGAACACACTGTGGTGGGGATCGGGTATGCGCACGAAGACGCACGACCGTGGCGTCTGATCTTCCGCGCTCGGCCCTCAGCCCTCGTGGTCCTAGAACGACGGGCCTACGCATCGAAACGCACGTCACATTCCATCCCAAAAACGAATCGAATTCATCCAGAAAATGCTTTCAACTTCCACGAAACATCTCCGAATTCAACCAAAACATCACATTCTTTACATCCAATCCGAACCGTCGAGGAATTCGTAAAAAAACATTAAATACCTCCATCTAGGGGTTCGTCTTACAACCTATAATTGACAAGTTCAAAATAGGCACACCGTTAAATGAGTCATATCGATACAGGGTGTACCAAAAATTTATTTCCAACTTACATACATCATTATTATATAATCATTTAAAAACACTTAAGCTTAGAACACACAAACGTGGATACCTCACAATCAAAACATTAAATTAAATATTTACAAAAGACATTTGAGTTGCCTACAAATTCTACACAAATGTCAGGGAATCCCCTATTGCAGGGTTTCCTGCGACGGACCACTTCGTAAATCCTGAAATTTTCACTGAAAATCAGTATTGCATATACAGTAAAACCATAATCCATTTGGATACTAGTTAAATTTTCAAAACCAAATCATAGTGATGAATTATCCTTTAAGGCTTTGGATTATTTGTTTAATACATGTAATTCAATGTATTTTCAATAATTATGCTAAATAACAACAAACCCTGAAGGTGTTAAACCAATGTAAAAATAATAATCTAGACTAAAACCTAATTAATTTACAAATATTAAGTATTATTTAGAAGCATTTTTGATCACTTAGAAGTCATACTTTCATTATTTTCAATTTTATTGAACATTTTGTTTTTTCTTTCATATAATAGACTATTATATAACTCTTGTGACCATATACAACTAGAATAATAAATAAATAATAACAAGAGTTGTTTTTGGAGATAACAATGTGAATGTATTAAAGTAACACAATTTTATTGTTTTTTTTATTGTATTATTTTAAGTAATGAAAACGTTTAAACAGACGCTTTGCAATGAAACGAATCAATATTTAGTTAACCAGAGTTTGTTTTGATGTTTTCATATGTAAACATTGAGAGATAAACGTATGCAAATTTCGTCGAAAATCGTCTTTTGAATTTTAATTCATAAATAAACACAAGATTTAGTAAACTTTGTTAATTGTATACTAAATAAATCTTATTAAATTAATAATGTAAAATAATTTGTTAAAATTTTGAAAATATTCAATGTATAAAGTTTTCAGAAAAACATCTTCTATTCTTTTTCTTCTTTCAAGTTACATGACCTGAAAATTCGAAGAAACGAAAAGGTTTTTGCTTGTATACAAATAAGGTATACAATAATCTTTTGTAAATAATTTTGGAAACTTTGCTGAAAACATGAAAATTCTGTTGGGTCGTAAAACGTTAGTAATAAACTTTTACTTTATTACCTACTTCTCGGGTTCTTAATTTCACTTTAACGGCTATTTTTGCTACGTTTTTAAATGGATATAATTGCTTTTTAAATATAATGCACAATAGAATATTGCATATTATAGAAAAAGACTTGTATAACAATCAAATACAATTTATTGAATATGACTAGACACACACATCTTATATATCATTATATATTTATAGTTATATATACATATGTAATTATATATATATATTATATAAAAAAATATGTATATATAAATGAAATATAGTATGTTTCATTTTTTGTTGAGGCAACATTAACAACGTATCCATACATCAGATGTTTTGTACACACATTTATATTATAATTATGCTTAGAGAGCAGCAGGAATGGATCAAAACTGATAGTAATAGTGTCCAAGGAGCGAAGGATTCCTTTCCCACTAAATACATATTTTCATTTTTTTTTGTTTTAACTTATAATGACTTGAGGTAAATTTAGGTGGCTTGGGATTCGCTAGAAACTGGATCAGCATCAATAGACGTCGAATTTACGGAGATTAGAGGAGAAAAGAGCGAAAACTATTACACTTACTTTTAGTTTACGTAACGGCATTTTTCTATTAAAAACAAGTAATACACATACATGAGGTATATGCCAAATTTTTTTGCATTCGTTTCTTAATCAATTAATTCGGTGAGAAAACGTAATTTAGTTGAAACTTGTATTAGTGGACTCTTTTCTTTGTTTTTTTGTTTGTTTCATAGATTGGCACAATTGAATGGAGGTGTGGACATTTAGCGGCTTAATTAATTAATTAATAAATTATATTAATTCAATGAGTCCTTGGTGCACGACAGTCATTTTAGTAATATCTATAATATTACTGCATATATTCTTGACGTTCTCATGGCATTGACCGTCTTCTAATAAATTCTCTAACAATTCTAAGCCGTTTTCTTCGCGAAGCATGAGGCAGTATCGTCTCGCTAAAAATGAAATAAAAAAATTAAAATAAATAATATTTGATTGGAGTTTGAGGTACTTACGGTTTTTAGTGCATACATGTTGGATGGCCCAAACTGCCCATAGGTGGACCCCGTAACCCATTCCAGGACAGAGCAACGGGAAAAACGGACGGAAGGTCCGGTACGCCACCATCTCGGTGTCCGGGATTCCCCAGCTATCGACAGCCTCTTCTAACTCTTTCAACATATTCTCTCTGGTCTTCTCCTTAACTAACCAAGTCTCCGGTCTATCCGAAGACAGATGTGCAACTATACCAGACGCGAAATAGCTCACGTCTATGTGCGGATCCTTGAGCAAGGTGAACAGCTCGTTCATCAGAGCGTCTATCATCAGATGACTTCTCAAATCTTCAACTTCAGCGATGTTATTTAACAAACCCAAAACCTTGGTTTCGACCGCCGTATCATTGCGGAAGACGCAAAGCACTTTCAAGAACAATTCGGCTCCACCGTTCTCCAAGAATACGTGACAGGTGGCCGCACTCTCATCCGTCAAATTCCAGAGCGCGCTCAGCGTGAACTTCAAAGTGATATCTGATCGACCAGATTCCACCCTTTCCTTAACCATCGCCAGCAATTTGCTCATGTACTTGGGTTTGGCACCTAACTCGGAAGTTTCCGATGTGGAAATCTTGGAAGCAAGTATGCTGCAGATCGCTACAGACATGCGATTCATGTTGACTTCGTCGTTGGCGCACAACGATTCCAACACTAGCTTCGTGCATCTGTACCTATCGAAGCTGACTTCCTGTAGAATACGATCGCTGCATAAAGTCAGTAGACCGTTTTTCTGCAGCTGGTGTTCGTCTGGGAAGGATTCCATGGCATTTAAAGTTAAATGAACGGCATGCGATAGCATCTTCGGATGTATAGTCTTACTAATCTCCCCTCTAGTTAAATTGTACAAGCAGGCTGTCGCAGCCATCTGAACTCCGAACTTTCTCGGATGAGCCGCCATAGCGGGTAAAACCAATTGAAAAACATCTTTTCGACTTGTATGATACCAGCCAGACAATTGGAAAAGATGATACAGAGCCTTCTGCACATAGGTATACCTATCTATATGTTTCTTCAACGCCATCTTCAGCTGCTCCTCATTGCCTAAACCTGCTATAATCAGATCTTTCTCACCAGTTGGCTCGCTGAGGAACACTTCAAAAGCTACTGGGTTCAATACCACGCCCAAAAATTTGAGCCTCGGATGAGTCTGCAAGTAAGTCTCCAAAGTGCTCTTCGAAATCAGATCGCGCCATCCCGAGATATCCAGATAAATCAAGTTCGGTAACTTATCAGGGTTCTCCAGAATATCGCATATTGCCATATTATTGATACTCTCAAAAGACTCGTGGTATAAGCTTATATCCAAGTGGCGCAGCGAGTCCAACTCTATTATGGTCTTAGTCATCGTGTTTATCAAATGGAGATCCTAAAATTGTATACAATATTCAATAGATGTGTCACATTTTAAATAAACCTACGTACGCTTGCAACTAATCCGACCAGTCTATCTTTGATCTTAAGTAAAGGTTTAATACATTGCACGCAGGTCCCCGAGATATCAAGTCGTTCCAGGTACTGTAAATCATCGCAAACTATCTGCAAAGCTTGCTGATTGAACTCGGTGAATGAGACGTTCAGTGTTCGCAAATTGACTAATTTCGTTAATTGAACTACTGAGCTATGTCTGGTTAAATCTATGAAGGTACAACAGGACACATTCAGGTGCGTCAAATTGCTAAGACTATACTCATTCAAGCAATCTAAAATGAATGATTAATCAAATTATAGAAATAAAACATAAGTAAAACAATTATTTACCAATAATTTTGCCAATACTAATCTCAACATTAATGCACTGCAACTCAGACAATTTGTGCTCACGCAATATCTTCAAACCTTCATGGCTGATCCTACAGTTTTTAATCTTGACACTCCGCAGCTTGGTGTTCCTCCCAGTGAACAAATGTATGGTAGTATCACTAACAAGGTTCTTTTCATTGAACTAGAAATATGAATTAAAACAATAAAATATTTAGTTAACACTTAACAAAGATTTTCCTACCCTTGTGAGTAATTTCTCTGAGAGTTCCGGAAACAGGTACATGTCCTCATCCTTGAAGCTGATCCTTTTCTCCAGCACCAAGCACTGATTGTAGAAGCAGTGATCAGCAGTGGGCTGAGTGGAAGATACTTCAAAGACATCCTCATAGTACTCACATATGTACTCCAAACATAATTCTTGTAGAGATACCGGATTATCATACATTTTTGCTACAGGTTAAATTTTACAAGTGCTTACTTCTTTCAGCACATAATGCATCCACCCTACAACCCTTTGAAACCTTCACTTAACACCTACAAGTATAAATTGAATGAATATTAGTTACTACCTTTTTACAGCTTCTTCATTACCTAATCGTTTTCACTTAATTACGTTTGCACTCATCAATATTTATAAACTAATTGTATATGTTGTATATATTTATATAAATAATCTGACAGTTGTCAAGATGCTGAAAATCTTTGGAATGAAGTCAGGGTCTCCAAATGTAGAAACTTAAGTTAGATTTTCTTAATTTTGAGGAAAACCGATTTAACACGTTGGAGAAGAAATGAAAAATGGAGAATGCGATGCATTGATGGTTTTAGGTTAATAGAAATTAATAAGATCTTAACTTTGTAGGCTTTTTTTGGAAGTCAGCTAATTTGAATAAACTACTTATCTTGGTTGCTTCTAGATGTCGCTTTATCTTAGCTTTATTGATTACTTAATGGTATGAATTGGTAGTTCAGGGTTGTATTCAGCATAACAGAAATATTAAATTTATATATAGATATTTAGGACTCACTTGTATTTAAAAATACATGCTCTACTATTGTGAGACAAAATAAAAACGAATACTCAATAAATTTATATAAATGTTTCAAGATAAGTTGAAATTAAAATTTACAATAATCGAACAATGTTGATATTTGCTTTAACAACATACAATTTTGGTTTGTTTTTGTCTGAATTTAATATTATGATTACTGATTAGCTTTACATTAGTTTGTAATTAAAAATTCTACGTTTTTTTTTTTAATTATTTATACATGAGTAATCAAGTCAGACAATAAGTTTATTAATAATATGAAAAACAATATTTAAAAAGAGTGAACAATTTGAATAGTATTAGCTGGGAATGTGTGAGGGATAAAATTCAAAGTTAAGATTATGTTTCATAATATCAATTTTATTAAATTACATTTTACAAATAAATATGTAGAGGGTGTTGGGTTTAAAATTGGTTCATGGTCTATTATAAATAATAAATAATAATTCCTCAGTACAATACGAGAAGGGAAAAAAAATATAATAATAATTATAAAAAGGAGGAAATCAAATAAATAGAAATCCTTAATTAAATAGGCTATGTATAATAGAATACTAATAAGTAAATTAGAGTTAATTAATTAATTAATAATACTTCGCCATTTGTGGCTTTGGAATACTATTTTTAAGTACATTCTCGGTTTATCATTTCTTGCTATAAATATAACTTAAGGCTAGTGTCTTAATAATTTGACTAGATACGTTATAGTTAATGTATTTAAGCTGCGTCGGTCGGGCTGGAGGCTTTGGATTTACGCCTGAAAGAAGAGAAGGAGAAGATTAGTTAGTTAACGGCTGTACGTTCGAAACGGGTGAATTACCAACATGGGGTAGAGGAAGGTGGAGATGTTGTCCTGAGAGTCGGCGTTCATCGCGACGCAAACGTATTTGCCCATGTCGCTCCAGTGGATGTTCCTTATCCTGAGACCACCGTCGGGAAGGACGGTGACCCTGTCGTTGGAGGCCCTGATGCGGTTGTCGGTGGGGTCGAACCACATGATGTTGGGACGGGGATTTCCGACGGCTTTGCACGGAAGAACGATGTCCGATCCGATGTTGTCCATGTAGATGGTGTCGAAGAGGACGATGGTGGGTTTGGCTCTGGTCTCAAGGAGTTCTTTGGTCAAGAGCTCGGTGATGTTGCGTTCGGAGTTCTCGTTGCGGACAACGTAGACGTTGCTCTTGGCGGTTGCCACTTGAGCTCCGCTCTCAGCGACGCAGGTGAAGGTACCTTCGTGGATGGGAAGAGCGGAGTTGATCACGAGGCGAGCCCTGATCTTGGCCATGCCATGTGGTGGAACGTCATCGATCAAGTTATTCTGGAATCGGTCGTTCTACAAAACGTTCATCACACTTATTACAAGAGGAACACGTCTAAATCAACTAAACTACTTACATCGGTGAGGAAGGTGTTTCCTTTGAGCCATTGAATGGTCGGTGCAGGTGAACCTATGGCTTCACATTCGAGCTGTATCCTGGAATCCGCCGGGTAACTGATCACTGGAGACGGTGCTTCGGATATCCTGACCCAATCCTTCACCCTTTTACCGAAATCGATGCGGTTTCCGTTGCTCCTCTCGATCTCGTTGTCCATCTGGTCCGAAAGCCTGCGGGATTCGGTGGCTTGCAGGTAAAGCGCCAGGAGCACGAAAGCGTACACTTTCATCCTGAAACGAATTCGAAATGAATAATCCAAAAATACTGCCGCGTACCACCACCGTGTGTCTCTTTCGTTTTCCGAGCAAGACCAGAACGGAATTGCATCATCCCATCATCAACATCGAGGGACACTTTCTCAAATGATGCAATTGGGGAAGCGAGTGTTTATTTGCAGCACGCGTCGCCAGAAGAATAATAATAATAAAAGAATATCAGAATTGCACTTCAAGGAATCTCGTGATTTGAACAGAGCTGAATCAAAAGCCGCACAATCTAACTGTAAATATTTAATGTAGATAGCGCAAATAAATAATGCGTACATTTTTTTTTTCTTCATTCATCGACTGGTTAAAAGGGGAGAAATTAGCGTAACTCTGTTGCGTAAGTTCGAAATTTCAATTGAGACGCTCGGGCCGTTTCGATAAGATTGTATTCTCTTGTGTAATGGACGTATTTTAAGGAATTACGTTTCGGGCGCAATTGAAGATAAAGCCCGAAATTGGGTTTTATTGCATTCGTATTACGCATTTTTTTTTTTTAAATATCTATATAAATTCATTTCCTTCCTTCGTTGCGTCTGATTACGTAAAAGATGCTCATCTAATTGAGACGTCGGATAAGCTCAGGAATGTCTTCCTTCGGCTTCCGTGAGAGGAGGAGTTGTAGAAGAGATAACGAGCGACGATAAAGTTTTCATTCATAAAACGGTTGCGACGCGCGCGTTTTCAAACGCGCAACATGCGTGTACTCTCTACTCTCACCCAACCAGAGCCTCAGATCGTCCTGCGACCGCTCGGATTTATCAAAAGTTATGGAAAAAAAATTACAAAGGAAATGCTGAGAGAAAATAAGACGAAATTCACAAGGAATGAACAACAATGATCGCACAAAAAAAAATGCAGGGTTACGTAATCCGTCGGTGTTAGTAGTTCTGTTGCTAAGCAGACGATGATAGTTGTAGCCTAAGCTCGATTGTGCAGCGCGAATCTGATGATAAAGGCATCATCGCATAAGCACTATTTCGCAGAAACGGGAATTTGTTTGGCGAATTCCGTGATAAGGTTCCAAAAGGTTCCTGCACGCTCGATAACTTCTTCTTTTTTTTTTCTCAACGTAATCTATTTTTTGAATCTAAAGTCGAATTCCTAAAATAACTACAATTATTTAAGAAAAAAGCAATCAATTTGATTAAAAGCAAAATCTACTGAAATTCCTAAAGGCGTTTAACTAATTGATAGATGAGTTAATTATTTAAGAGAAAACAATAAATCGCGTTGAAATGACGAGAATAAACAACAAATGTTATAAAACAAACGAATTGTGAATTTATAACGTTACTATTAACAACGTTTATTTATGATTGCTTAAAAACTTTTGTCACAAGTCTGTTACTAAGCTACCGAAAATGGTGCACGCATAATGCACAATGAAAATACACAATCTCAAGCAACAAAAATAAAACTGCGATTAATCAAAATGAAGTTTACACTTATCCAAATTATTTATATCATTTTCACTTGTCATCAGCGTTTTTTTTTTTCGTATTGCAATTAAAGTAATGTAAATAACAATTCTACTGTTTAGATAAAATGCGCTATTCTTCTGATTAAAGTAACGGTTAAGGATTAAGGGATTGCTGATTGCAATGTTTTTTTGTTTTCGCAAGAGCCTCCGTGGCGCAATTGGTTAGCGCGTTCGGCTGTTAACCGAAAGGTTGGTGGTTCGAGTCCACCCGGGGGCGCATCAACTTTTGGCCCCCCCGATCAACAATCAAATAGGTTTATGGAAAAGTTTACATTTTAGATTGGCTTTGGGATTGTAGTGCAACGATGGACGTTATCCATCGTCGTCTTCTGGTTGACTGGAATCCTATCATATCTGGTTTAAGGTTAAATCGAAGATGGAAATATTGGTTATAAATAAATTGACATGCGTCAATCAATTGCTGCAGAAGTGTTGCAAGAATCGTTTATCACAGTGTCTTTATTATCATCCAGCCAATGTAATTTAAGGTGGAATTATTCGAGGCGATGTTTCAATTAATTATTGTAAGTATTAACAAAAAAATTGTATTGGAAATAGTTAAATTTTTGATAAATTGATATAATGTAACTTGATTCAAACATTTAAATGTGATGAGGGAAAACCAAAAAGTTGTAGCTTTGAATTAATGTAAATTGTTTAAAATATTATTGCAAATAGAAATTAGGTTGAAGTATAGAAATGTCGAAAATAATAGTTGAAGTCGATTGTTTGACATTGGCGTGATGCAACTTGATTGAAAGTTGATGGTAAGAGGGTAACAAATCCAGATGCGTTTAGGCGCAACTTCCGGTGATATTCAAATTTGGTTTTTCTTTAATAGTTAGTGTAACGCAGTTAGTAATGTAGTGTAAATTCGAATTGGATTATTTATGAATGGTGAACGTGTACTTACTTGAGATTAGTTCTGGTAGATGTTAAAGTTCTTCGAAAAAAACCACGTGCTGCGGTTCACGTATTTCCACTTGAAAAGTAGCACCTCTAGAATTGCTTTTTTCCCGCCAAGAGAAAGATATATATATGTGTAAATATATATAGTGAATGTGGAGAAAACTTGGAGTGCTTTGCTGCTCTCACCTCTCTGTGTTTGAACACTGAAATGATGTACTGACTTGTTGCATGCCGTCCTTTATATAAGAGACTCCGCACATACACATGCACGTATCACACACACACTACTCATATGCACACGTACATGAACACACACACATACAAACGCTCGCTTATTCACGGGACAAGTCGAGACATGTGCTCTTGATTGAATACTTTTATTAGTTATTAAAGTAATTTTAATCAGTAGTTTATTGTGCGTGGTCACCGGGGGGTGGTGCTCCTTGCGGCGTCGTCGGCGGCGGCGGTGGGGCCGCCCCCGCGCCTCAAAAAGGGGGAGGGTAATTAATCGTGCGCCCTCCGTTCCTCCCACATCCAACATCAACTAGGCCCCAATTTAATCAATTACCCATCCCCCTATTTCATCCGACAAACAACAACAAAACAATAAACAATTTCTTCCGTTTTCGACTTGATTTGCTTTCTTATGTTTCTTTCATCTTCGATACACCAATATGAATAGTTTCAATTCCAAAGTTCAATTTTTCGCACTTTGTTTTCTTCTCGAGAGAGAGATTCAATTAACTGATGAAGAATTCTAAAAAAAAAACAACAAGGTTCATCGTCCAAGAACAAAATTTTAATTATGTAATTTAATTTTAAATTATTCTAATCATAAATTTATATTTTCATTATTTTTTATTTCAATTCATTTATTAGGATTATCCAAAAAAAATGTATCTAAAGGAATTTAAACGTGTTGAAACAAGAATTTTCGATAATAGTTAAGCAACGTTTACACAAGATATTTATTGAATGGGTGCATCAACCTTTAGCAAAATGTTAAAGTTTCTTATTTAAATAAGATACATTAATTGTAGTTGTAGCAATATGAACATGATTTATTGATTATAATTTGAATTAAACTAAATTTTTAATAAAACGTTAATATTTCTCATTAAATTAAGTTAGACAAAATGAATATGATTTAATTAAATTGATTTTTTTTTGTATAATTTTTTTATTTTATTTTTACTTAATTAATTGTAGATTAAATAAGATTAAGTTTTCTTGGAATAAAATGAAAGAAAATCCGTGTTGGTTTTTAGTTAAGCAACGTTTGTGTAGGACAAATTTTGGTTGATTTCGATAAGAATATTTTCTCAAATTCAGTTGAAATATAATGTAAATATACTTAAGTTTAGAGAAAAAGTTTCCTTCAGAAAATTACATGTAAAAGTTGACCGTTGACCATGTATGCCTCGGGGTACGAACACTGTAGTTTTAGAAATTATTACATCATCTTTTTCAATTCAAGTTTCCCCTCTTAACAGTAAAATGAATTCGAAAACTTGAACTAAATACAAACAATTTGCAATACTTTATTTATATAATATTAATTTTTAATTTATAAAATTATAAAAAAAATTCTCATTGATTACTGTAACATTAATTAGAACAAAATTCAAAAAATTTCCAATACTTTCATTTTACATTCAGAAAAATCCCATTTTTTTTGTACTTAATAATTTAATAAAAAAAAATTCTTCGTTCATAAGATTGTTTCTGAGAATTGAAGAGAAATCTAAACCAATCTTTTCTTCAGTAAACTTCGTCAATGAAAAAAAAAATCTATTTGATAACAGAACTCTTATATCGTCATGGAATTGTGTAATCTTTTGACTTTTTAATTCTGGAATTCTTCTGTCAAGAAAGAGATCGATTTCTTATTTTTTTTTTGTTAATTCCATATTTTATAACAAAATTCAAGTTTTTTTTTTGATTTTTCTTATTACAATTTAAAAAAATCTTTTTACTTTGATTTTATATAAATTTGACATCAATAAATAATAGTTACCATAACGATTTTAATTAAACTAATTGCTTTGTAGTTCCAACATGAATTATAGTTTTTGTTTCCTCACTTGATTCATATTCGCTAATGACTGGATAGAAATTAATTAATTAATTATTATATTTTTTTGTTGATTAACTGAAATTACATCATTGCTCGGACGAAATGTAAACTATTTATCTTTCCCTGGTGGATTAAGTAAAAGAAAACGTGTGGATGTTTCATAAATTCTGGAACATATCTTATCTGCTCTCATTCGCATTCACTAATTCTCAATTAAATTCCAAAGTCCCAATTTCACTAAATTTTATTGTATAATTTCTAACTTAAAGTCTAAGGTTACAAATTCCACAATTTCAAATATTATTACTGAAAAAATTACACAATGAAAATTATCAAAATACTTATGTATATTGTCTTTTCTTGAAAAATGTACGTAGAAAATTATATTAATTATTAACTTTTTCTTCATCAAAGTTTTTAAATAATTTAAACAAACAAAAAATTAGGAAACTTATGTATATTTTCTAATAGGATTTTATTAGGAAAAAAAATTTGAATTTCTAAACAAGAAACTTTTATATTTATTCAGTAAAAATTTAATGATATTAAATTTAAAAATCAATATATATTTTAATTGGAATTAAATATTTTTATTCGAATTTTTGATTCGAAAACTTATTTTTTTTTAAAGTGTAAATTTGTAGGAAATAATGTATGTTTTCTAGGTGTAAATTATAGAATCATGAATTAACAACAAACGTTTTTGAAAATGATAAAACCTTGAAAATACACAATAATAACAATAATTATATAAAAACTTTATTCAGAAATACCAACCATCCATAGAAGCAAATTACAGATGATTGTACTCGTTTTTTTTTTTATATTTTCACATTTGACTGAATTATTGCATAACAAAAATAAACTTATAAATTATACATAATTTTTATTATAATCACAATAATTATGTATGTCATCAAAAGAAAAACAATTAATTGAACGTAATTGCGAAAATGTAATTATTATTATTATTGCTTTTTACATGAAAAAAGACGTTTTTCACTTGTTTGTATAAATATAACGAATAGAGAGAAAGAGAGAAAAACGATTCCACTTTAGCAAAAAAGGTGCTAAAGTGGAATCAAGACGTTTTGATTTGTCATTCGCTTTAATTTCGAAAGAAATTATCGTTTCCATCAAGACGTGTTGCATTTTTCGTGTCGTCGAGTGAAATAACAATACCAATGGGTGTAACAGATTGTAACCGTATTACATACACCACTTGATTTGGCAAAAAAAGCTGCTTTTGACGTGAAATCCGATGAATGTGTGAACTAAGTGCTGCATTTTTTTTTGCATCTCGATGATTTTTTTAAAAGTGTGAATCACGAACGTAATTTGATGACACGAAATTAATGGGAAATGTGAGAATTCGCTTTTGTTTCTATGGTTGCTAGGAAGAAAAAAAAACCGTCAGATTGATTTTGTCGTGTAAAATTTTAAACAAAGTCACCTGAGAAATAAAATTAATTGAATGTCTCTTAGTAACTAATTGATTGTTGTAATTATTAATAATTAACTTAATAAGATAAATCATCGATTTGTTTGTGCGTTCGATGAAATACTTTATATTAATTAAGAAATTTGAAATGATTGACCTACAGTAATGATCACTTGATTTGACCTATAGAAATTTAACAAAAGCATGTTTAAAACAAATGATTTTTTAACAAGAGTATTAATTTTATTATTTTTAAGTGAATTAGATTGTTATTTTAGAAACATTTGATTGAATATTTCTGTGTATGAACAAAGCTAAAAAATACATTGTAGTTAGAAACAAAATAGAAATGTTAACTAAATTCTTCTAGTTTTTATGAGTAGATACTAATAAATTTTAGAATTTTTTTAGAAGAAGGAAAAAAACAACATTTTTGTTTAGATTTTTCTGTACATTAGCTAAAATAATATAAATTAGTTAAGTAAAGTGATTGAAAACATTGATGTAGTTAGAAATGAGGTAAAAAATGTCCAAGATTTATTTTCAGTTGATTCTATTTCAGTGACTGAAATATAGAAAATTAGTCAAGTAAACTGAGTAAAAATATTGAAATAAGATAGAAATATTAACTAAATTCTCTAGTTTATTGTTTTTAAAACAAGATACTTAATTAATTCTTATCATATTTTACTGAAATTAGAGTATCTTAGTGGATGTAAAAATATTACAAAAAATATGTATAAAAAATAGATTTTTGACTGAGAATATTATTGCAACCACTTGAAATAATGGACTAATTTAGTTGTCCAATGAAAATAGTTAGAAAAACGATGGAATTATTAACTGAATTAAAATTGATGGAAAAGTTTGAAAAAAATTGGTAGTTATTTTACTCTACTTTATTGATTAGTACATTATTAATTCATTTTTGATTCGTTTTTGCTTCGTTTTTTAAAGTTCTTTAGTTTGATAATTGAAGCCTTGATAGCTAATAATTCTAATTGAATTAAGAAATAGCTACATTTTAGTATATGTTTGGATATTCTAATTTAGTTAATTAAATTGGAAATAGTAATTAAATTCTCTAGTTCATTGTTTTTCAATACTAGATATTATTAATTATTAATAAATTTTACTGAATTTAGAGTGAATTTCAGTAAATATACAAATATTGCAAAAAAAAAATACAATTTTGATTAAAAAAATGCATCTACTGAAATACTTGACTTATTTTGTAAAGTAACTGAAAAAAAATAATTTAGTTAGAATATAAATGTTAAAAAATTGCTACATTTTTACTTATATAAACCAATAAATTAAATTACGTAAGCTTACACATAACTCAATCTGTGTTCACTGAAAAGATAAAAAATTCGAACAAATTAAAAACAAGCAACGAAAAAAAAAAACTATAACAGAACAAACAACGAATTCACATGTGCCTGTAGCATGTTAGTTCGTGTAATTCAGTAGAAAAAAAAACAATATTTAGATATGGCAAATATTTGAAGGTATTTTTCCTAATTCCACCGCATGATGATCTACGAGCTGCGGAAATAATAAAGCAAATCCTTGTTATCCGATCATCATCTGACACTTACATGCTCGACCCTGTGACGTATCTCACGAAATTATCCCTAAGCTACTTTTGTTTTTCCCTACTTTATTACTTAACTTCTCAGCGGGAAATTCGAGCGCGGT